GAAATAATGTCAGTGCATTTCATAACCAGAGGAAAAAAAGTGTTACAACTCAATGACCCACAATTTTTTTACTGTGCAAACTCTTATAGCACACCAATTAAAGCTCCACTGCTAAAACATACCAAAAATCTCAATAACTAGTCAGCTGTTTGACAAGTAGTCTACCAACACGCACTTTAGAGACAACATTCCTATAGTGGACAAACTGAGCCAAGACATGAAACCCAAATTGACATGAAGATAAATACTGTTAATTATATTCATATTAAATGTTAATAATTATATTTAAGGTTCACTTCACTAATAAATCAATAAATTCAGTCATTCACGAGTACTGGACAACATTTTTTTTTGTGCAAAATAATTTAATATGGATAGAAACTACCAAGTTTTCCATAAATGCAGGAATTTATAAAAAAAAAATATATATATATAAAATAATTTTGATAATAAACTTTTGGGGAAAAACACTCTGAAACCAGTAATAATGAATACTTGGGTTAAAATTTGTGATGCAGCAAAATATTGGCATTCAGAAATACTCATTTGTTCTAGTTTTGGCCAAAATCACTGACCAAAATGGTGATGTTTAGTTCTCTGATGGCATGTTTTGACCATGTCTGCGTCTATTATGTGCACACAATGTATATAAGCTACAACAGGTAAACTACAGAATGATGTCAAAACAGCTTCTAGAAAGCAGGATTATGCTAAATATGCACACTCTTTATACTTTTTCTTAGCCCGTTTTCTTCGTCATTTAACATGCGTATAATAAATCTCATGAAAACAAGTTTTTATTACAGCCACAGTTTAAAAGTTTATGTTTTAACAACATAATGGAGAAGAAACACAATTATATCATAAAACGGTGATATTAACTTGATTCTTCAATTGATTATTAAATAAACTTTCAATTTCAGTCAAATCATTTTGGTGCGTCACTAGTGAAAATGGTCCTCTAGGTTTGTTTTCAGCCTATTTATTCTTATTATTTTCAGCAAAAGCTGAACATGGAAATTGTTGATGAAAGTGTTTGGAGTGTCAAATTTCACTATCTCAACATTAAAAACCAGACCCAAAATGAAATGACTCACAATGCAGAACTCCTCGAAAGATATCCTTCCATCCCCATCCTTGTCTGCGTTGATGATGGTTTTGTCGACGATCTGCTGCAGCTGGGTGTCCTTCAGGTTATTCCCTACCATCATCTTCAGCACTTGGAACAGCTCACCGTTGGATATGTAGCCATCCTTATCCATGTCATAAATCCTGAACGCAACTGCAGAAAGAAACATGCCAGAAAAGGTGCTAGAATGCTTTGCTCCAGCGCACTACACTTATTTTGGTTTGGATCAACACTGGATGAACATAAGTGTACTAAACACTTAACCTTAACTAAAGGAAAGTGTTGGGGAAATTCAAGATGGAAAGAGACTCACAGCGGAGCTTCTGCTCTTTGTCACCCTTGACACTGAACTGAGAGACGCCTTCAATGAACTCTGCAAGAAAAAGGTCAGAAAATGGGAGGGTGAGAAAATTGTCTACCCTCTTCACCTTTAACTGGACCAAGTTATGTTAATGCATCTGAACTCCTCAAGTACAGAGCGCCTCTGAAACCAGCAAGGAGCTCAGGTGAATCTTGCACTTTCACAAAAAAAAAGCACTGGACTGAAATGCAACAATTTCAACTGAGATCTGGGTCAGAAAATGCACACATAATATTACATTTCCTGAAGGAAATATTAGTTCTTCCAAAAGATGGGAAAGGGGCAGATTTTATGCCTTTGATTCACATGAGGGCAGTTATGAATGCTTAAAAATATACAAGGAACCCAAGACCAATCACAATTCAGAACAACTGGAATTCAGTACACTTTGCAATGAAATCAACATCCTGATGATTAGCATAAACCCATGAGCAACGCATACTACACATCAACTGGAAAAAGCAGAAATAAACCTTTAAAGTCCACTTCTCCATTTCCGTCTGTGTCGAATATATCGATTACTCGCTGCACCAGCGGATTCTGCTGCAACTCGGGTAGAGACATAAACTCCTCCACGCTGAGAGAACCCGAGTTATCCAGGTCGAGTTTCTTAAACCGCTTCCCTAGTCTTTTAATCTCATCAGCGTCAACTGAAATAGAGAGAAAAAGAGATGAAGAAAACAGTGAGAACAAGTCATTTCAACACAGAACACAAACTATGCATCCCTTTCTTATTCTCTTTGATTTTCCTCCGCTACAACCGTACATCCATCTTCAAAATGTCAATCTAATATGCCTTCAAAGATTGCTCAAGTCTTAAAGCACTCACATACACACACAGGGATGCAATATTCCACATCCAGGGCTCTCACACTCACTTTTATTCATCTTTGGCTGCCATCAGAAAGCCAGAACCCATCCCAGAATAGACCTTACCCAGTTTCTCCTGCCTGGCAGTCATGGTCATCTCTCAGAGGACTGCCGTTCAACTACAGCTTGCTGTTGTGCTGTGTGGACTGCTAAATGGCCTAATCTCATTCACACAGCCACGTGGTACACACCTCCAGTAATCAGCTGCCAGGCTGTTTGCTGTTAGCACTGTGCAGTTAATCTAATTACAAATCTAAATCACAAATTCTCAACCTTTGTAACTCTTCAGTCCCTCGATGTCGGAGGTAACAAAGAACTCACTCTGCTCAACTAATGAGACTTTTTAAAGGAAAAAAACTATTAAAATGCTGATATGAATATTGAGGTCAAGTGTACCATTTTCAAATTAAAATTCTGTCATTAATTACTCACCCTCATGTCGTTCCAAAGCCGTGAGACCTTCGTTCATCTTTGGAACACAAATTAAGATATTTCTGATGAAATCCGAGAGCTTTCTGAACCTCCATAAACAGCAACACAACTGACACGTACAAGACCCAGAAACGTAGCAAGGACATCGTTAAAATAGTCCATGTGACATCAGTGATTCAACCTCAATTTTATGAAGCTACGAGAATACTTTGTGCGCCAAGATAGTGCACATGTGCCATGGTACTATCTTGAATGCGCGGCAGAGACTGACATGAAAGAGAAGAATTGTTTAATAAAGTCGTTATTTTTGTTTTCTTTCCGCACAAAGTATTCTTGTAGGTTTATAAAATTAGGGTTGAAGCACTGATGTCACATAGACTATTTTTACAGTGTCCTTACAACGTTTCTGTGCCTTGATTGATCGTGTCAGTTACGTTGCTGTCTATGCAGAGTGAATTAATTTTAATTTTGGGGTGAACTAACCCATTAAGCCCACCAAAGTCTGTTTTCATACATTTACATTTTTATTTATATAGTTTCATGGAAAAACTTGGATAAAATGAAAGAATAATTAGAATTTCTCACTAATTTGATTAATGACTAATTAAAGAGTTCTCACTTTAATTTGATATGCTTTTTTTTTTCTTTTTTGAAAATATGTGAAACAAACATCTGGCATGCTAGATTTTAAGTGAGTGCAACTGAGTTAAAGGCACAATATGTAAGATTTTTTTATTACAATATCCAAAAACCACTTAGAACAGTGTTATATATTTTGCTGACTTGTGTACTTTATCCCAAATGTTTAGAAGAATAAGCAATTTTAACTAGTGACACAGACCGTGTCTATAGTGCCATTGTGTCGCCTGCTAATGACGTCATACACCCTCGATTTCCGGTTTTGTTTTGTAGAAAACATGGAAACACCAAAGACGGTTTAATATGTTGTGCGTTTTAATAGACCGGTGACGACCGCTCAGAGTAGCATTATAACAGAACTTTCAAATGTATCTAGTATGATAAAACAG